TATGCACACTCTGCAAAACTTTGAAGAGCAAGACTAGATCAACAAATATATGTGGAGGGACAGTCCTATGATTGGAAGAATCTTGGATAACTATTGGATCTTGCTTACAGAATTGTTCCCCAGCTCAAGGCCTGGAAAAGAGCAGAATTTTTTTGCAACTGCAGTTCTCCCTGTCTTCTAGTGGCCATACAGGTTAGCATATCCTGAAAATTGTGGCCCAAAGAAGTAATCTTTCCAAGCTGCTTATATTACTTCTGATCAGTGGTTTAGGCCTGTGGCTGTGGAACCAGAGGTTGGGAGTTTGATTCCCCGCAGTGCCTCCTTGACAGGGGCTGGAGTTGATGATCCATAGGGGCCCTTCTACCTCTGTAGTTCTAAGGTGGTGATAATAATGCTAATTCTTTTTTAAAAAAAAAAATCTGTGTACACTCACAGGGCTACTTGAAAATGTCATTTTGGGACCTGAAGCAGGAAATCCAAATGGAATGGATCATAAGTTGCAAAAATAAGATCAGCTTATTAATTGACAACACATTGCCCTTTAAGGAACTTCTGTCTGCCTGAGACAGTCCAAATCATTTTGCTCAATAGTACAGTACAATCAGACCCCCAGCAGGGGCTCTTTTGCTGTGAGTCCATCAGGAGCACAAGATATTTTCCTTGTTGTGAAGAACCAGGATCAGATTCATTTGCTCTAGTAGCCACTGTGACACCAAGAGGGACCTGATGATGCTCTCTGAATTGACTCTCAGCATACAGAGATTGAAGACAGCAACAACACACTCAGACTGAAATCTAGCAGTAAGCTGAAACCAGAGTAGGCCCATTGAATCAATGGAACTGATGAAGAAGGTTACTCACCAAATTCCCACTGATTCAATGGGCCTACTCTAGCCGCAACTTATCACTAGATTTCAACTTCATGCTGCCTTCGTGACTATATAGACCAGATAGGCAGGGTACAAATTAAATAAATAAATAATAAATAAATATATGCATCCTCCTTCTGGTAGAAACGTGAGAGAAAAGTTGTTATTTGGACAGTCTAGAAATATTATAATACCACAATTCACAGTATATAAGAAGTGTAATGTTGCTGCCTTGCAGCATCATGAGCATCTCAGACATTTCTCTCTGAAAGTACTTTGGTAAAAGCCTGATAAAAATGACCCTGTTTGCTCCCTAGAGAAATGTTTCAATTTGACAGGTTTCAAAGATACTCTGAACTGCCCCGTCAACTCCTAGTTTTCTCAAGCATTCATTGGGCCTCTCTCCATTTCCTTTTACCATGACACAATGCCTCTCTTCCCTGTGGCAAGTGCACCACCAAGGCGACTCTTGAGGAAACACAATAGAAAAATGCTTCATTATTGTTAATTGCTCCCATATTGATTCCTGTTCCTGGGGCAGTTTCTGTTTTTTCTCCACTGGTTCTTTTGTAGCAGCCATTCGGGCGGATGCTCCTGGCGTAGACTTTTGCATTCATGTCTCAGTTTTTCTTTGTACCTGGGAAAATAGCTGGGGAAGAGACTGGAACCAATCAAGACATGGTGACTGCTAATGGTCTACAAATTAATAACGGTTAACACAGAGCTGTCGTTTATGACTTAGGAAAGGCCCGTACTATACTCACAGCTAGTAGTGCAGCTTTAAATTCAGAAGTACAGGGGCCCTTTATGTCATTCTCTCTCTCTCTCTCTCTCTCTCTCTCTCACACACACACACACACACACACACACACACACACACACACACACACACACACACACTTTCCTTCCTAAGTGCACTGCACACACATCCACACACTAATTAGTTGCAGCTAATTATGACTTGGCTACAACTATGCAAGGGTGGTGGTAGGAGAGGCAGGAATCCATGAGGAGGAAGGGAGAAGCAGCCATCCATAGACCAGTTTCCCTTCCTCTTGCACAGCTTATGACACATGCAGGAAGCAGTTGCTTTCCTAGTATCCCCGTCTGCTCTTCTACAATACTTTCTTTTCCTGTTTAGCGACGGAAGGGTTAGTCTGAAGACACACAAGTTAGCACCTATTTGAAGGAAAGGGATGGAGGATGTGATCTGACAGAGCCCGTAGGAAGCATCTTTGGAGGTCTCTGTTGCAGGAAAAAGTGTCAGTGCGTCACACACACACCCCTGCAGGATAGCACGATTACCCCCACTGTTCATAGCCAAATGAAAGCACCACAAGGCTAAAAATTATAAAACGGCCACTATGCAAGCACCTAGAAAGCAGTGCAGTAATAACTAGAAGCCAACACAGATTTGTCAAGAACAAATCCTGTCAGACTAAACTGATCTCATTTTTTAATCAGGGAACCTCCCTGATAGACAGAGGGAATGTTAAAGACGTAGTATATCTTGACTTTAGCAAAGCTTTTGGCAAAGTGCCCCATGATCTCCTAATTAGAAACCTAACTAGGTGTGGGCTGGATAGATCAAGTGTCAGTTTGTCTACAGAATCATACTCAGAGGTTGATAACTGATGGCTCTTTCTCCAACTGGGAGGAAGGAACAAGTGGAGTATCCTAAGACTCAGTCCTAGGTCTGGTGCTCATCAACATTTTTATTAATGACTTGGATGAGGGAGTGCAGAGGATGCTTGTCAAATCTGCAGATGACACACATTTGGGTGGAATAGCTAATGTCCTGGAAGACAGATCTTGATAGGCTGGAGCACTGGGCTGAAAACAACAGAATGAAATTCAGCAAGGATGAGTGCAAGGTACTACACCTAGGAAAAAGAAACCAAATGCACACTTACAAGATGGGGAGACCTGGCTCAGCAATAGTACAAGCGAGAAGGATCTTGGAATTGTCGTAGATCACAAGTGGAATATGAGCCAACAGTGTGATGTGGCTACAAAAAAGGCAAATGCTATTTTAGGATGCATTAACAGAAGTACAGTCTCCAAATCCCGTGAGGTACTGGTCCCCCTCTATTCAGCACTGGTTAGTCCTGACCTTGACTATCGTATCCAGTTCTGAACACCACAGTTCAAGAAGGATGCTGACAAATTGGAATAAGTTCAGAGGTAGGCAACAAGGATGATCAGGGGCCTGGAAACCAAGCCCTATACGGAAAGACTGAAACAACTGGAGAAAGAAGACGAGAGGTAATATGATAACATTTTTCAATTACTTGAAAGGCTGTCATACAGAGAAGGGGCAGGATCTGTTTTCGATCATTCCAGAGTGCAGGACACACAACAATGGGCTCAAGTTACAGGAAGCCAGATTTCAAATGAATATCAGGAAAAACCTCTGAACTGTTTGAGCAGAAAGACAGTGGAACCAATCACCTCGAGAGGTGGTGAGTGCTCCAACACTGGAGGCATTCAAAGAGAAACTTAAGACAACCACCTGGCAGGTATCCTTTGATTTGTATCCCTGCATCGAGCAGGGGGTTGGACCTGATGGCCTTATAAGCCCCTTCCAACTTCACTATTCTGTGATTCTAATGCAGACTGCTGTGAGCAGAAACTCGTAAGCTGGATGAGATCAAACTCAAAATGTTTGGGCAGACATTCTAGCAAGGCTGAAAACCAGAGAAGGAAAGAAGGGCTGTTCCACTGACTGTAATGAGACTCACTTCCTTTGGCCCTCCTTCAGGAATTCCATAGGGTAGCCTGTTCCCTTAGGCGACCTGAACCATCTTCATTCATCTGGAGAATCCTTACTGCCTGAATGTTTTTCTTTTTCCTCTTCTCCCCTCACCATTGTTTGGCACACATGGGTGGCCCAAGGCTTAAGAGTGTGAGATGCCTCCACATTTAGTTCATGGGCTACCAACTGCTGCTTTTTTTAAATTTAGATTATGAGCCTGATGACAGAGAGAGAGAGAGCATTATTTATTAATGTGAGCTGCTCAGGCACCTTTTTTGCCTCAAGTGTGGGGCATACATTGTTTAAAACATGATAAATGTATAAATCAGGAGTGGACTACTTTGAGGGGACATTTTTCCGTCTTTGGATTCTCTGGAGACCCAAAGACAGCCAGCAAAAAGGAAGGAAGGACGGACGGAAGGATGGGAACATAATTCTAGATCACATTTGTACTTTCTTAAGAAGGGGGTGGGGCCTACGAAAGGCCAGCCTTACCGCTAGGCTAGTTTTACCAAAAGGAATTGTACTTTTACTGTTATTGTACTTTTACCCTTTTGGGGAGGGTGCAAAAAACATCCATTGCTCTGTCTTTGAAAATAAATATCCCACTCTATCCCTGTGAATGAGAGGCTCTATCAAAGTGCTAGGCATGGAATAGACCTAAGATGGAGGTAGGCAATGCATTTAAAACAAGTTGTATCCAGCTTGCCACATTCTCCACATACAGTACATGTCCCTGCTCCACATGCACACCCACATATGCTGGGTCTTACAACCCCATGATCCAACCCCACCCCTCACCCCATCTGGCAGTTCACTACTTGAGGTCCACTAGAAGGTGGTCAAAACCCTAATACACTAAAGGCATTTCAACGCCTTTATTCTGCCTGCTCTGATGAAGAGGGCTTTTCTCCCATGTTGCTTCCAGACTGTGGAATGCAGAGAGCTCATTCTTCCCATTTTTAGGAAAGGTGTGAAGACATAGTTCTTAAAATTTGCCCTTTAAATTGCTTTATTGACTGCTGCAAGGATGTAAATTGCTCTGTTAACAGTTTTGTGTTTTTATTATTTAATTTGTTTTTAATCTGCTTTAATAACATAAACTACCTTGAACAAATTTGTTGTGAAAAGGTAGGATAAAAATGTAACAATAAACAAAATAATTAATAAATAAGAGTAATAGTAACATTGCATAGCTATTTTATGAAGGTGCATTGCGCATGCACCCATTTCAGCTACTTTTGTTATAACTAAATATATCTTTCTTGAATCCAGTTGTAACTTGATGGTGAAAATAACACATCGAGTAGCCTTTCAGATGCAAATAAGATGTGAGGGAAAGGAAAGAAAAAACCTTCTCATCCATGTAGGAAAACTTGCTTTATAAGGATGTATTTTATTAATTAGTAACTCACAGCTGGAGTGCATGCCAAGGAATATAACACTGTACAAATAATCAATATCCTATTGCTAGTCCTAACTAGAGTAGATGCATTGACGCAATGGGATTTACATAAGGATTGATTTACCATTTGGCAGGGGGTTCAATGGGATTACTTTTAGTCCGACGCTGGCCTTTATTTACAACCAGCAAAGTAGAACGTATGGTAACTTCATGGCTAGTGCCACTAGAGGGAGCCAGCTCTCCTTAAATTACCTGCCAATTAGGGGGCTGCTGGGGTTTCCTAGCTAGTGATCATTTTCCCACAGATTCACCAATTTCCATTTCCATTTTTGTTAGGGCAGTGCAAGCCAGAAAATGCAACTGTGCGCAGTTAGCTTATGTTCCCGCAGCTAGTTAACTGGCAGCACAATTGTAGTGGTACATGTTCTGCTCCCATCTTCTCCCCAGCAAGATCAACAATCTATGTTCGAATGGAGACCAGTGGCTGTGCAACTTGCCGCCGACCGTTAGACAGTCCGCAAAAAAGGCTTTGAACAGAGCCTAAGTGAGGAAGCTTTCTGGTCCCCGCTTCTCCTGACTATTTACATTCTCTACATTTTGCAGGACTTTCACCTCCTAAGAGCACACACCGCTCTGATTAAATAAATACAATGCTGATTAGCATTTGACTACACAGAAGCGCAGAACCCACAGCCTGGTCTGGGTTTGACCTCAGAGGACCTGGGAAGCGGTCTCATAAAACTGGAGCCACCACAGACTCTTCATGTTTTCCCTCTCCCGCTTTCTGTCCTGAAGAAGGAAAAAACAGAAGACGCACCCTAATGAGGCCAAAGCAGAAAAAAAGGGAACGATTCAGGCATGTATAATTATTATTAGTACACTCTGCTGCCTGGAAAACAGGCTAATCAAAGGGTGGGGCCTTGTTGCATCAAAGGCCCTGTGCTGCGTTGAGCGAAGCATGGACCGTACACCTAAGAAGCCAGTGGTGGGAGATTTTGGGGGGCGGGGAATTGCACTGCCAGACCAGACCAGACCAGCGGGAGTGGCACCTCCTGATGACCGGCCATGTTGCTCAAATTCAGAGGTGGCAAGCTGAAAGCCACTGTAAACATGCAGGCAGGGAAGGTGCCCCTGATCTGAATGTGAATTGTATTTGCAGGTCACATGACAGCAGATTTAAAGAAAAGGCTGCTGCGGGGGGGCTTTTCGTGTGTGTTTCGTCACCTGTTTTTGCCTGCCCTGTGTAGATGTGTGCTTGTATGTGAGAAGAGATTGAGAGAGAGAGAGAGAGGGAAGCAGAATTAGTTTAGGTAATTAACATGTTTTGCTGCTTCTTCGCAAGATACAGTTTGGGGAAGACTCTAGGAGCACCCTGTTGTTTCAAAGAACTCTGCTGTGTGGCTTCCTCTATCTGTCTCACCTTCTGTTCCCATATAGGTAAACAAATACTATACAAAGACCACATGTCCCTTATTGCCTTGCCTCACAAGAACAAAGGCTGCCAGAAAGAGTGTCCCCCAAACATCCTATTGCTTGGAGAAAGTAGGGAACAGAAAACAACACCTTAGAAACATATCATAGTTTTGTTTTTTTTTAAAAGGCAAACCAGGGCAAATCACTATCCACCAACAGGCCAGTTGAAAAACTGCTTGTATATATTCAAATAGTTGTCTACAATTATGCCAAAGAAAACGTTATCTGACCGCCAGCTGCAATCAGAAATTCCCAAAGCAGATCACCAGTATTGTTCTCATCACACTGTAGATGACCTGGCATCTTCGGCAGGTGGACAAGCACAGCCTGGCAAACATAAACTGTATCTGTTCTAGTCTGCAAGGATTGGTTGGGCATTCTCTAAGCCAGCCTTTCCTAATCTGGCACCCTCCAAATGGATAGAATGAGGACAACCAGAATGGGGCCAGATGTCCTTAGCTAAGCTGAGATTGTAGAATCCCAATAGAACATGTCTAAACGGGAGGAGATTCATTCCCTTGGAAAGAGAGGGTCCTGCTGGCTGGCATGTGGTCTCTGCTGCCAGCCCTGGCCGTTTGGCTTTTGTTGAGTGGAGTGATGGCAAGATGCATTTGTTGGGATCTCCCTCCTCACAGGAAGGTGGCAAGAGTTCACTTCTTGTTGCCAGAGGAGGAGGAGGAGGAACCTTGCCGTGAAATCATAATTTGATAGATGGTTTCCCGGAAATGCTGATCCTGGGTCAACCTTTTGGCAGCTTGCTTCAGATCTTCTATGCTTTCAGCCTCTGAGTACATGAATGATTGTGACTGTCGCACTAAGAACAAAAACAGGAGAATGATACATCACAAAGATGGGCCTGCTCGTTTGCTCATACCCACCCAAATCTTTTTTAGGTAATTTGGGAGATATAGCCCAAATTCAGTTTTGTGGCATCTTAAAAACAGTAAATTTTCATTTGGCATAAGCTTTCAGGGACCTCAGATGGTTTCTTCCGATGCCTCTTCTGTGTCCTGCAGTCCACAAAAGCTTGTACCAAATAAAACATGCTAATCCGTAAAGTGACACCCAACTCCTCCTTGTATTGCCTACAACAGATGAAAATGGTTAACCCTCTAGAAAGCTCTGTATTCATTAGGAATCATCAGCTAAAATAATACCAAGTTATGCATACCTTCCCCAGCGGGTCCTAACTGCTTTTTTTCTTTTTTGGAATATTTTAAATTTGATTTTTTCCCCATATTATATTAAACATGTTATGTCAATTCCAGTGGGTTAGAAGAGGCCTTCAAGATCTTATTGCAAATATCTACTGGAACACACCAAAGAATTTTTTAAAAAAAGATTTATCTATGCTTTATAAAATACAGCAAAGCTTTGACCATGTGGATCATAAGAAGGTATGGATTGTTCTGAAAGAAATAGGTGTGGTTCAGCACTTGATTGTCCTGATGTATAATCTGTATTGTAGACAAGAAGCTACCATTGAGATAGAATTTCAAGAAACAGAATGGTTTCCTACAGGCAAAGATGTTAGACTAAGGTGCAGTTTATTTCCTTATCTGTTCAATCTGTGTTCCGAACATCAAAGAAAGCCAGACTAGATTCAGCTGTACAAATTGGTGGATGAAACATCAACATCTAAGATACGCAGATGACACTGTGTATCTTACTAGCAGAAAGCAGCACTGATTTGAAACAACTACAGTGGTGCCCCGCATAGCGAGGTTAATCCGTTCCGGATTAACCCTCGCTATGCGGAATTGTCGCTAAACGGGTAGGGGAAACGTATTGAAATGCATTAAACTTAGTTTAATGCGTTCCAATACCTTGCTTACTTACCCATTCAGCGAGGATTCCCCTTGCCGGCAGCCATTTTCGCGCCCTCGCTAAGCGAGGGCAGGGCGTGAAAACGGCTGCCGGCAGCCATTTCCGGTCTTCCGGCGGCCATTTTTGAACCGCCGATCAGCTGTTCGGCGGCTCCAAAATGGTCGCCGCAATACCCGATCTTCGCAATGCGGGTTTTCCCCATTGCGAAGATCGGGTATGTTTCCATATAGCGATCCCGAAAAAGGGATCGCTATACAGAAACATCGCTATACGGTGCACTCGCTAAGCGAGGCACCACTGTATTAGGGAAAGTGAAAGAAGGAACTGTAAAAGCAGGACTACACTTGAACATTACGACAAAAATTATGACAACAGAGAACTGCACAACTTTAATGTCGACAATAAAGAAAATGAAACAAAGATGTTGTATATCTTGGTTCAATCATCAATTCAAACGGAAACTGCTGCCAAGAAATCAGAAAAAGACAGAGACTCAGAAGGGCAGCAATGAAGGAATTAGGAAATACCAAGTGTAAGGATGTGTATCTTGAGACCAAGGCCATCCATACTCTTGTATCCCTGATCATCATTTATGGGTGTGAAAGCTGGACTGGAAAGAAACCTGACAAGAAAAAAAAAAGATTTGTTTGAAAAACGGCACTAGAGGAGAGCTTTGCACTGTCGGAAAGACAAACAAGTGGGTCCTGGGGCAAATACTGAGTGAACCCTCTCTGGAGGGAAAAAAATGATGAAACTGAGGCTGTCCTACTTTGGGCACATCATGAGAAAACAAGATTGTCTGGAAAAGCCAATAGTGCTGGGAAAGGTAGAAAGCAGCAAGAAAAGAGGAAGACCAAATATGAGACGGGCTGACTCCCTAAAGGAAACCACAGGCATGAGTCTATAAGAGCTGAGCAGGGCTGTTGAGGACAGGACATTTTAAATAGCTCTCATTCATAAGGTTGCCAGATGTCAGAGGTGACAGCATGTAACAGGAAGAGATTTTATTTTATCAAGTGACATGTAAATACCACAACCACAGAGAGAGAGAGAGAGAGAGAGAGGTCCAAGGCTCAAGAAGCCTAAGAAATTGTGAATAATATAAAGCTACTATGAAGAAAGAAGGGAATTGGGAATAATTGTGGTAATTAGCAGATGTTAACAGTGGACACAGAGCTTGGGACAAAGACAACAGACAGTCAGTTTGTCCAATCACATAGACCCATCAAAAACTAAACATCATCCTGGGTTTCCATACTAAAGTTTCTTGGTGTTCCAATGCACTCAAACAAGATATCCTTCAGAGTTCAGATATGCCTCATTTTGCCCCCTGAGCTGGCCCTATGATGAGTCAGAAGTGTAGAATTATAGAAATGGAAGGTCCTGAAAGGATAATCTGCTGCAACTCTCACTAATGCAGGAAATCCACTGCTAAATCGTCCCTGACAGATGGCCACCCAGCCTCTGCTTAAATATCAGAAATGAAGGAGAGGGCATCCACTTGTGAGGCCGGTTCTTTCATTGTCAAGCAGGAGGTTCTTCCTAATGTTTAGTCAACATTTCCTTTCCTGTCATTTGAAGGCACTGATTCAGGTCCTTCGTCCTCAAGCTGCAGAAAGCAAGGTAGCACCAAATCCAGTTTATGACACTCTTTCGGAGGCTTCAAGATGGCTATCATGTAATATGTCTTCTTCAGATTAAATATACCTGTTCTCCTCAAACATTATTCACAGGGCTGGGGTTCCTTTTTCACCTTCCTCTGGAAATACACTATTTTGGGAACAAAGTTTCTTAATCTGCAGTGCCCAGAGACAGTAGATTGGTTGCTACTATTGAAGGGAAGAATATTATCAAGCACTACTTTATGTTTTCAGTGCTGTGCTAGAATCTTTTTTCTCTAAAATACCAAAACAGACTGAGCCGCCTCTGTTTGGCCCTTCAACAATTTGTGACCAATCTGAGCCTGCAGGGAGCTGGGGAGAAAAGGTGGGCTACAAAGCTAAACCATTGTATTGCCAGAGTTATTTTTATCATCTTATAATAACTCTACTTTTCTATCAAACATGTCCAATAAACAGGTAGGAACAGAGATCTATTATTTAAAAGACGATATTTTTACAAGTCTTTATGATGTATTTTTGTTACTGTTCACTGCCTTGTCTATTGTAGGAGCATGGGATGTAAATATTATAAAGGGGAAAAATGTAAAAGAGAAAAGATCAAGGAAGGCCTGTAAGCCATAGGAACCTCACAGCTTTGGTCAGTACATGGGGCCACCTCGGACATGGTGGAGGAGCCTGCCTGAGGCTAATGTGGTCAGGAGGAGATCATACCCTGTTTCCCTGAACATAAACCCTAACCTGAAAATAAGCTCTAGTACAATCTTTAAGGATGCTCGTAATATAAGCCCTACCCCCAAAATAAGCCCTAGTTAAGTGAAACCCCGCCCTCCACCATTGTGCAGCAACCAGAAAAAGATGACATGACTGTATTTGAATAAATGTAGATCGTTGTACATGAAAAAAATAAAACAGCCCCTGAAAATAAGCCCTAAAGCGGTTTTTGGAGCAAAAATTAATATAAGATCCTGTTGTGTTTTCATGGAAACGTGCTATAGTGTTTCCTGACCTTTACAGCATAAGGTGAAACAGGACCATCCATTTTGTTTTTACCAAATCAAAAACCCCTCTGCAATTCATTACAATAGTGGTTCCCAAACATTTTGGCCTTGTGGCTGACCACTGGCCACGGCTCCCCTTGCTTGGAGAGGACATAAGGGGTCTTATTGCCACCAGGGGCAGGATCTTGACCACCTCCCCATCCCATCTCCTCCCAGATATATCCGAGGGACCATCTCCCTCCAGGTCCTGATGCAGGAAAATTCACGAGGCCATCCATCAAGCATTTATTTATTTTATTTATTTATTGAATTTATACCCTGCACCATCTGGCAACCAGGCCACTCTGGGCAGCTAACAATTTCTATTGGGGACCATAGAGATGTGGAAAGGAGAGGCAGGTATACAGTTTCTACTTTGATTCCGATTTGACATACAGCTATGAAGGCAATTGAGGAGCTGTTTATAGAGCTATGAACAGGTCTTCTGCTGCCTTCATAGCTCTATGTTCCATCCCTTTCCTCTGGCTCCCCTGGCTGGGTTTCATGGAGCCACAGCGTACATTTTGGGAGCACCTGAATTACAGAGAATGTGTATTATTATTCCTCCTCGTTCAGTTTCACCAGGATCAACTGAACCCTTTCCCAGTGTATCAAAAGCATCAACTGAATTCCAGGCACAACCAAGCTGAGTTTTATATGCACACTAGGCATCATTTTTTAGTGCAGAGCAGAATGGTCTTGCATTTGAACAGATGGATTCGCACAGCATTCCAGGCCAACATGAAACCAATGGCTCATCACTGTCATATCAAGAAACGACTGGGTGAATTGTCCGTGAGTGGTTCTCAGAAGAAGAGTCAGGATAATCAACAGTAATCATGGCTTCCTTCTGCTTGGTGAAAATAGGAAACATGCTGACCGTTATCTCAGCAAGGAAAAGGGGTGACCTTGATTTTCACTGCTGCAGCAGTGAGAGTTTTTAAACAAAGCCATGTACTTTTTCGACACAACCACAAAGCTCTTTGAATCCTAGCTAGGTTAATTAGCCTCTTGATTAATGCCAGATTGCAAGAGCCAGGGAGGGGCGTGCTCCCAAATCATAGAACAGCTCAGGATGGTAAGGGAATGTACAGAAGTGGCACTTACAGTCATTCCATGTATTGCTGGATCTTCTGCGGTGAAATCTGCAGCTTTTTATCCTGCGTGTGGCAGCTTTGTGGAGGTACACAGAGTTCTTCATAATCACAGGCATTTTGGCTTCTAATTCAGCATTCCGGATGCACTCCTCAAAAAATTCTACAGGAAGTCAACACCCAAGGGAAACACAGTTAATATACTGTCCTTAGACCCGGTTTCCTCATCTTTGTGCCAACAGCCCCACTAGTTGAGGATGAAAACTGAGGGGAAAAGTTTCTTTGAGGATACTCAGTTCCCAGCAAGAGTCATGCTGGCTCAGGTATTCTGGGAGCTGTACTTTATTTTTTTAAATGTCTCTGGATCAAGGTAATTATCATCTAGGGTGAACAACAGCAAAGAATCTCGCAGGAGCTCCTGCCCCACTTTCCTCCCTTGAGACTCCCATTGGCTGAACTTGTCTCTCTGTGTGTGTCTGTGTTTGTGTCTGTGTGTATCAAAAATGTTAGAGAGGAGAATCATGCCTAGATGATTATGGAGAGCGTAGAGGTCACACAAACTGTATTTATACATACATGCATACATTTCTTCCTGATGTCCATCTGTCGACACACAAATACCTGCCATTGGCAATTGAATGACAGGGACTTTGAAGGATTTGTTGCATTTTTTGTATTGTTTCTGAGAATGCTATTTGTAACTGTAAGTTGTTTTCAATTATACTCAGTTTTACTAATCACTTTTCTTGTTTTTAATATTTACAATGCATTGGCTGAAATCTAGCAGAGTAGCATATGTTGCATAAGAATGATATTATCAGCCTTACGTAGCATACATTACAGTACTGGATTTCAGCCATTGTTTTTTTAATTGTACTGTTTTTCATTTAAACTTTAAGCTATCTTGAGTTAGGGAGAAAGGAAGGCTGTAACCTAAATAAGTAATATGTAAATCAGACTTTGAGAAATGAGTTTCTATGATTTCAGTCTTCCCTCCTCTGTGTAAGTGTAAGGCAATACAGTCAAGGATTAATTTGCTAACCATTCTGGCTGGGATCCTGTTGGATCCAAGGAAAAGGTAAAGGCCCACCAGCACTGTGTAACATGGGATTGCCTGCTTGCACAGATCTTGCCAGTACAGAAGCAGAGACCCTTGTTGCACAAATAATGGATTATGCTTCCGCAGGAAGACCCCGAAACCTTTCCTGCACCCACCTGTTTGTTGCCCATGCGGCTCAATGCGACAGGATCCCAGATGGTAGCTTTACATACTTGTTTATTTTTCTGAACACAAGTGTTGTTGCTGGGGGGGGGAATTAATTAACAGAATTCAATTTTGAATTTTCACAAACTACTCTGAGCTAAGAGAATAATGGCCTCTCAGAGGTTTCTGGGACAGAAATTCCCCAGGGCAATGAAGGAGGTACTTCTTATGTCCTTCTCATATTGTATTTGGTTCAATCTCTCATTAGATAATTCAGGAGGGAATAGGGACAGGAGTCAGAGCTCAGAGAGACTCAGTTCCAGACACTGTTTTGAATGCTGTGGTTTGTGGGCACCACAGATGGTTCAGGCACCAGGGATGGCTCTGGCCTTTGCTTTGCTCATCCCTGCTAAACAGCAAAAATCTCAGAATCATGCGCAGTATGACAATGTTCTTTTGCACATGTACAGAATGCCTGATTCTCTGACCATTGCTATGACTTCCAAATACCTATGCACGTGCAACAACAAAAGATAGATCCACATTCCAGGTACAAACAGAGCTAAACATGTCTTTGCACACTGGTTTCCATGTGCGCTTTCCTTCCAATGCAAACAGGAGCTTCAGAGAAACTATTTCCATCAGAACCCCATCAGAGGAGGAAAACTTGCTCTCTCTCTCCATTTTCACAGATGACCACCCACCTCAAGCAACATTTTAAAAAGGACCTTCTTTCTTTCTTTCTTTCTTTCTTTCTTTCTTTCTTTCTTTCTTTCTTTATTAATTTAATTTAATTTAATTTAATTTAATTTATATGCCGCCCACACGCCCATCTAGACAATGTCTACTCTAGGCTAAATATAAAGATCCATTTAACACATGAGTAATTTGGCCTTCATTTACAACATCCATACATATGATGGTAGTCACTAGCATTTGCCCCCCGTGTCCCTCTGTTTCTTAGGGTATATAGTTTTATGCTTTGTAGTTGCTAGAAATAACTGGACTAGTACTTAGGACCAGAGATGGGCATGAATTAAAAAACAGATCACCAAATGCATTCAAAAATTGCTAATTCATAGATTCATATTTGTACAAGTCAATGCCTTGACAAATAGAAACCAATGCATGTTTTGTTATTTCTTTTATTCTTTTGGCTATAAAATATCCACACACACACACCTAGAGACAACCAAAATTGCAGGGAAGCTTCCACTGACTCTCCTCTACATTCCCTTACGTAGAGCTTCCACTGACTCTCCTCTACATTCCCTCCACATTTGGTGAAGATTGCTAAAGACTGCTTTCCTGTGGGAACACACTTTGTGGGTATATAACATGGCTGTTTGAAACTCAATCTTCACCAAACTTGGAGGGATTGTAGAGAAGTGTCAGTAGCAGCTTCTCTGTAATTTTGGTGTCTCTAGGTGCCTGGGGGAGGTTTCCTGGGGGATTCCTCTGTGTGGGTGCATAACTCAGACATCTGAAACCCAAACGTTGCCAAACCTGCAGGGCTTGTAGAGGAGAGTCAGGGGAAGCTTCTCTGCAAAGTTGGTGTCTCCTGGTGCTTGGGGAGCCATTTTATAGGGTTTTAAAGTAAAAAAAATGGATTGACAAATCGAATCATCAATTCATCAAAAAAAATGTAAATTCATAATTCGTGATTTGTTGACCTTGACAAATCACAAATCAAAACAAATCACCATTTTTCTGATTCGTGCCCATTTCTATTTAGAGTCCCCGGGAAGTTCAGGAGGTTCAATGTTCTGACAGGCACTCAATGTTCAACTAGTTTAGGCAAGCTCTTCCAAGCCAAGCATGTTCAGAGTGTCCCGGACAACCTTTATAATCACGGACATTCTAGATGGGGATGATGAGAGCTGTAGTCCAGCACACCTATAGGCCACCCATTTGAGTTCTAAGCTGAACTCCCTAAGAAAGGGCATCTCTTTTCAATCCTCGATCCTTATTTCCAAAGCTTGTAAAAGTAACTAATCCTCCACCCAGCATGTCCCAGTGGCCATGTTGGTAGAAGGACTATATTATATGTTGCCCAAAAAAGTTCCTTTTTCCAAGCTCTGTTTCTTTCAAGGTACTGTGGAATCTACACACCAGGAGTGGGGGAAGAACCAAGGTGTGGCTGCTGCTCACTTACTCTTCAGGTTGCTGACATCGGCCTTCATTTTCTCCTCCTTCTCTCTGTTCCGATGTTTACAATTCAGGCCCTGCTCCAGGCTCTGCAGGGCCTCCTCTGCCTCACGCAAACGCCTCTCCAGCTCCATGCGGACCTTGACTTCTGCCTGAGCAGGAAGGAAAGGAGTCCGTCCCAAACCAAACCACAGCAATCCAGAAGAAGACAAGCATGGCCATGCTGGCTGGAGAAACTGCAGGAGCCTGGGTCTAAAAAATACCTTTTCCTAGCTGTGTTCCCTCTTTAGGCACAACGACAAGAAATGCAAGGCTTCCAGTTATAGTCTGTAAGCAACAGTCGTTTTCTGTTTCTTTTGAATGTGGGGAATCTATGGCTTGCACAAACCATACTGAGTAAGCTAACCAGGGAATCCTGCCACAGTTCTATCCTTAAGCTCAAAGGTGGGGAAAAGGGTATAAGACCCCGAAGATTGTACCCTTCACACTAAACTACCCTCTTTATTATGCATTAGTTGATTAAGGTGTGGAGAGTGCAGCAGCTAAGGGGTCATAAAGGGGCAACAGTGCCTTTTTTGGAAATTAGCATATTTCATGAAATACCCATGAAAGCCATCGAGAATACATTCTTTGTTATGTTTGGTAGACAGGCTTAAGTCATTCCACTTCTTTCTAATATTTTATCTAGTTTTTCATCATTTCATCAGGAAGCTTCTTTTTTTTTTTAATCATTGCACATATGTTGAAAACATCCATTGAAAACTTACAGGATATCTCCAGATGTGGGAGACAACGGCAGGGGAAAGGAGGGTGAAATGACTTGCTAATCAGAGCCTGAAAAAGTTCCTTTTGTGGACTATATAGCTTGGCTAGCCATGCTGGCTGTGAAATTGTGGGTTTTTCCATCCCTGTCCATGCCCTACAAAAGAACTTTTCCAAGCTCTAGCTGAGTTCATAATAATTACATGCCATCAAGTCAATTATGACTTATGGCAACCCTTTCCAGGGTTTTCTACGTATAGAATATTCAGAAAGAGTTTACAATTCCCTTCTCTTGGGGGCATTCTGGGACTTTGCAGCTTGTTTGAGACTACGCAGGCTGTCTCTCCTCCCGGGACACAGAGTGGGGAATTGAAGTCTCAATCTCTGGCTCTGCAGGCCAGATACCTAACCAAATGGCACACAGCCCTTCTGCTACCAGTACCTTGAGGTCTCGTTCTGTCTTCTGCTTTTCAGCAGTGAGCTCCAACAGTGAGTTTTGTAAAGCCTGCGACTGGGAAGAGTAGAATTCCCGCTCTGCCTCCAGGGCTCGGGAACGCTCCTCGTTCTCCTTCATTCTGTACAGCAGAACAAGGGAAGACATTCAGATTCCCACCTGCTATTTGGTTTCTCAAACCTGCTTCCTAGCTTTGTTTTTTTTGTATGTTATGTTTTGTCTGCCAGATTGCACCTAAAGATATGGGGAAGATCTCTCTGGCGATCTTACCAAATTCATGCTGCTGAAACCTGTATGTGATCTGAAATTCAATGAACAGTAGAAATCTATACTCAGTTTCAGCTCTTGCAGTCAAAGTGCACAATCAGGAAAATGTGCACAGAGATGCAGACAGTATAGAATAGTGCACACCCAAAATGTGCTTATTGCATAGAAATGTGCATGATGATGCCTATATTTAAGACAAGTTGACATGTTTTATCATAGGGAAGTTTGCTTACAAAATGAATGCAGCACAATGCACGCCTTTGGTAAGAAACATATGGGCAAATATTTATGTAGCCTGTAAAACATTCAGTGAACAGAAACAATGATTATTTTGGAAAAATGAGAACAAGAGTGAACCTCAACTTGACCCCTCTCATCTCTCCCTAGCTGCTATCTGTGGACAAGATTCTCTGTCGTCAAACTTCCTATGGAAGTCAGATGAGCTCCTCTTACCCGTTGTTCCCTGGTCTCCTCCCTCTCGCTGACTTCAATTAAGAAAGCAGGATTCTAGGGTCATGTTGGCTAAGGAATTCTTGCAGTTATGGTCCAAAAAAAAAGTAACTTTCCCAAATTCTGTCCAGGACCCTGTTTTCTTGGGAAGCTCCATGTTAAAGAGACAATCTCCAAGTTGCCACAAACTGCCAGCCTCTTACCTCTTCTCGGCCAGGAGTTTCTCCTCCAGCAGCTGGTGCATTTTCTCCTCAATCTGGTGCAGGCTGCTCTGCAGGCCACCAGTAGCATCTGGTTGCTCGCTAGGGCTGACTGGAGGCTGCAGGTGACTTTCCTTTTGTTCCAGCATTTCCAGGGTCCGCTGTTTTTCCAGGGAGAGTTCCTTGGAGAGCACAGAAATATGTTAAATACTACATTTTCTCCTCTCCTCCCTCATATATCCTATCCTGGCATCTGCTACCTTTCAAAATATATTTTGAACCGTTTGTTCATGGTTGAGGTATGTGAAGTAAGATTGCCAGATTTTTCTTGGCAGGGCTCTTGTGCACTTAACACATGAAGCAGAAAAAAAAATCAATAGTTTATCATTTTCTGCCTCTTTGCTGCCATCTGGGAAAAAGATTTGCATGCAGTTGTTAAAGGCACCTCACCACAGACAACTCCATACATGGGTATTTGGGGAGAAGGGGATAGGGGAGGCCTGACTGGAATTTTAAAAGCATTTATTTATTTTCATAGAATCATAGAATTGTCGTAGGGTTGGAAGGGACCTTGGAGGTCTTCTAGTCCAACCCCCTGCCCAAGGCAGGAGACTTCATACCATCCAGGACAGATGGCAGTCCAATTTTTTCTTGAAAACCTCCAGCAATGGGGCACCCACAACATCTGGAGGCAAGCTGTTCCACTGCTTAATGGTTCTCACAGTCAGGAAATTCCTCCTTATTTCCAGGTTGGATCTTCCTCTGACAAGTTTCCATCCATTGGTTCCTGGTCTGCCCTCAGGCGCAATGGAGAATAAATCGATGCCCTCTTCCCTGTGGCAATCCTTCAGGTATTGGAAGACTGCTATCTTGTCTCCCCTTCAGTCTTCTCTTCATTAAGCTAAATATACCTAGTTCTTTGAGTTGTTCTTTATAGGATTTAGCCTCCAGTCCGCTTATCATCTTTGTTGCTCTTCTCTGCACCCCTTCCAGGGCCTCAGTGTCTTTTTTTGTATTGTGGTGACCAGAACCGGACACATCACTCCAAGTGCGGCCTCACAAGTGCGGTATAGAGTGGTACTATCACTTCCCATGATCTTGTTGTTATACCCCTGTTGATGCAGCCTAGGACTGTGTTGGCTTTCCTGGCAGCTGCAGCACACTGCTGACTCATCCTTAGGTGGTGGTCCACCAGGACACCTAAATCACTCTCCCCCCTGGTACTACTGTCAAGCCAGGTATCACCTATCCTGTACCTGTGCATCTGGTTTCTCCTGTCTAAGTGCAGGACCTTACTTTTCCCACCACTGAACTGCATCTTATTGTACTCTCTTTTTTTCCTTGGTGTCAAAAGCACCACATACTATTAATAAATATACTGCATAATTTTAGCCCAATGATGGGCAACATCAAGAACCTTTGGAGCAGCTAACACCTAAAGTGGCACTATCACTTCCCATGATCTTGTTGTTATATGCCTGTTGATTCAGCCTAGGACTGTGTTGGCTTTCTTGGCAGCTGCAGCACACTGCTGACTCATCCTTAGGTGGTGGTCCACCAGGACACCTAAATCACTCTCCCCCCTGGTACTACTGTCAAGCCAGGTATCACCTATCCTGTACCTGTGCATCTGGTTTCTCCTGTCTAAGTGCAGGACCTTACTTTTCCCACCACTGAACTGCATCTTATTGGATAAGATAACTCCACTTTTTAGTCTATTGAATGTCTTCCAAGTAACCCCATTCTCCATGTGAACAGGGGCTAGACTTTCCAGGGGTTTCATCGATTTTAAAAGATGGGTAATTCTTTCTTTCTGCATTACAGCCCTGGTATTTTCCACTGCAAGTACCAGCTGTCCTGACTGGGGTTTCTGGGAGTTGCAGTTCAAAAGCATCCGAGTAACAAAGGTTAAGAACCACTGCTCTATAGTACATGTTGACAGCTGCAGAGTACACTGATGTAGGCATGAAGTTGCTTCTTCTCCTCTGCACTCACAAAGGACTGTGTCAGTGCAACCCTGCTATTTTCTTAGGTTTCATTCTGTTCTGTCAACTCCACTTTGTAGTCTATTGAATGTCTTCCAAGTACCCCATTCTCCATGTGAACAGGGGCTAGACTTTCCAGGGGTTTCATCGATTTTAAAAGATGGGTAATTCTTTCTTTCTGCATTACAGCCCTGGTATTCTCCACTGCAAGTACTCTTAAGTACTCTAAGGAGAGAAAACTCCAGAAAACAGCACAGTAAAACAGTTGCCATGCCTAGTATAATGAGCCTTAAAAAGTGTGGGAATTGATGGAATATTCTGGAAGCAGGCAAGGCTGGGTGGGTGCCAGCACTCTGCAAATGAGCACTCCACACTTTGCTTGAAGTTCCACTGATGTAATGAAATTTCCAGGGAGACCAGAGTAAGTACAATAGCATAAATTGCTGTGGCAATTTTTCATTAGTTAACAGGTTGTTGCTAGTATCTCTCATTATGCACCGACTCGTTGCAGCATGCAAAAAGCGTTACAAGTGGTGACTTGTTAGCTAGAGGGAATTCACTACTGCTACTGTAGATATTTGTTAGCTAGAGGGAATTCACTACTGCTAGGTAAGCCATTGCACTTAATGCCAGTGTAATTAACCAACAGGGTTCTGAATACTGTATTAAAGATTAGCAAAACTAGGAGCAAAATTGTGTACCTACTTCCAGTGTTTTCTGCAGTGTTTCTGTCAGATTTCGGAGCCCTTTCTTTTCCTCTTCCACTCCTTTGAGGGACCGGGCAGTCATTTCCAGTTCTCTGAAACAAACATATAAAGGTTGTCGGTATAAGGTTACCCACCAAATCCCCTAAACGAGGGATGGACAAAGTGCAGCTTCTAGGTGCCAAGTTCCCAAACGTGATATTGTTGTTGCTGCTGCTGTTAGCTTTAAAAGTCAGGTGGTTGCCTCTACTTTGCCCACCTCTGCTGTAAAAGATAATAATATCATTAAAGTTTCTGTTTTTACCCTGGCTCAATCACCAGGTCTGTAACAAATCCACAGTCTTTAGAAATATGACAGATAGAGTTTTTGCTACCTTTGCATCTCTTCGTTAAGAATGGCTGCTTCACATTTAGAGCTTTTGACAGCTCAAGAGCCCTGTTAGAAAACAAATTCCCACCTTAACTGATGTATCCCACAGGGGTATTATCTTGACAATAAACATGCCAACATATAGCTGAGCTCTCCTACCTCAGAGAGAGAATGTACTAGCTGGGGGTGGCTGCATTTGGTCATGCAGTGTTCAGGGGCATACTGCTGTCCATTTAGCCAATCACTGATGGGCCCCTAAAATTCTCTAACCTCCTTTTAAAGCTATGTGAGCCAGATGCCACTACCAGTAAGCTGTCATAGTCAAAAGCATGACCCTCTAACAATCCCTTGTTTCTAGGTATTGCACAAGCAAGGCACGAATCTACATTGTATGGTTCAAAATCCACAGAACTAATGTATTATGATTCACAGGAATATGAGGAAGCAACAGAATTTCATTAGGAAAAAAATGTGAGGGAGAAGATTCAGACCAGCCCTTCCCTGAACCTAGGGACTTCTTCCATGTATGGACAGAATGACTATTCAGCAAAGGCAGTTTTCTGGAGGACAAGAGATGGTAGTTTTCACTAATTCCTTCTACAGCCCCCGGTGCCACTTTTCATTCAATCTTGGTCTCCCCAACTCTTCCAATCAACTTTTTAGGGGGCTCAAGTGGCTGCAGCACAAAAGAGACATCACTGAGAAACACTGCCCCATCTTGCTTCTTTTTTCTACCTCAGGAAGAAATCTGGTGACCGCCAGGTTGGATCCACAGATTTAAAATGAGGACTTGCCAGAACGGGCATCCCATGAATTCTCAGAGAACATAGGACAACAGTTTCCCAAATCCTGCTGCTAGCACAGCTGCTTTTGGTGCCGACCGGGGGATTTGCAGTCCAAAAAAGCAATATTTTCAAGCTATAGATCTCCTCAAACACTGGAAGCAGTTAGTTAGAAGTGTAAGCTAGTGTAAGCTAGTTACCTCTTTGGGTAACAAGGGTGTAGTTAAGTTACATTCCCAAAGTAAAGCAAGGAATAGTTATAGTTTTCAGCAAACCTGTATGATTTTCTAATTACTTTCAAATGTTACTTTTAAAGGACATTTTTAGGTTTTTAAGATTTTCTAATTACTTTCAAATGTTACTTTTTAGGTTTTTAAACAAGCATTTTGATAGGATGTTTTCAAGTTTTATACCTCTTTTATAATAATCCTAAGAGACAGGAAAGTATGTTGTTGTTGTTCTACAAATGTTTTCAGGATACAATATCAGAAGACGGCATCGAAGAGAATGTAGAGATTTCCACCAGTATTTTTCCGGTGGGCTGGCAACACAATATATTACATTTGTGAATGGACCAACAAGTAACAATAGTGGTCATCTGGTTGTCATGGAACAATGAGTAACACAGCAAGTTCATTTTAAAAAGAAACATTCCAAGCTCTGGATCAGCCCCAGTTTCCCAATGGAAGGACCCACTTTTTGACTTGGCTCCTTTCAGGGAGAGGCTCTCTCACCGTTTGATCTGCTCTTGCTCTGCCCGCAGATCTTGCACCACCTCCTCAAACTGCTGCTTCTCTGCTTCTAAGACCTGGTTCAGGCGCTCCAGAGCCTGGAAAAGGAAGAAGGGGGGGAGTCATCCAAAGGACTAGAAAGATGGTGCTCTAGGGAGATGTCAGGGTCCCCCTCCTCTCCTTGGGCCTCCTTCAAAGCTTGAGACATTCCTCCATGAGAAAATGTTTCTTGTGAAAGCATGAAACGTGCAGGGGCCTTGGCGCCCAAATACCAGTTTGTTTCTCCCAATGAGCACACATACGCAGGGAAGCAATAGCAAATGACATCCTCGCTGTGCAGGCAAACACCCCAACAAACACACAGTAGAAATCTGCATGTTCAGTGATCGGCAATAACATCCTATCCATGTGATATATATTTTTTTTACACAGAAATGCTTTCCACAGAAGAATTGTCACGTACAGCCATTGAAAAGATGCCTTGGAGCAGATTTGTCCAGCATGACCATTGCTGACAGAAGAAAAGTAAAGCATGGCATTAATCGTCTCTTTCTTTTTTTTATTTATCATCTTACTAAGTTATTTTTTTAAAATGGAAACGTCTACCAAGCACTGAACTGCTCTCGGAGAGATTTCATGATGGAATCACAGCAACAAAGGAGGCAAATTCTGCCTGCACAATTGTCCTCCACCCCACTTTGTTAATCCTGGTAGAAAGGGCATAAGGTAGGCCCTTTGAGTGAAGTGCAAGTGAGCCCAAGAAGGACTCTCTACCTGCGGGCATTCCACCTGCCTTCTTCACCCTTAAAAGAGATAACAATACAAAGGCCAGACTCAAGCAATACTTCATTAAGCAGGTAGCAGTGGAGCTCCACCTTAGTCAAGGTGTTTTCACAGTTTATCACTATGATAGAAAAAGTCTCATGAATTTCTCCACATCAGCTTTCTCTGGCCTTGTGTTCTTAGAAAGTGTTGTCACTGTAACTCCCTGTACTTCCTATCCAGTACAGCCAAGGCGGGCGAGAAGTACAGCCTAAATCCTCTGGGGGGCACCAGATTAGGCAATGATGCACCTCAGTCCCCATCCTTTCTTGTTAATTTTTAAAGGTGAAAAAATTATCAGTGCAACCCCTTTCCATGGCATTCAGTGGGAGTCTTATTACTATGAGTATCCTGAATATTAAAAAATAAAATAATTAAAATTGGGAGAACAAACCTCTCTCTGTTCCCTCTGCAGACACAACTCCTCTGTCTCTTCCATCAGTTTATCTGCAAACAAACAGAGAAAAGTGGTAAAAGCCACTATGGAAGGGTTAATTGAAAACTGATGGTCACAAACTAGCATGGACCTTGAAAAATGTGCAGCCTTCTTTCTTGTACTGCATTGCATTTCGCAGTCACCTGAAAGTCTACAAAATAACAAAGAGGGATATGACCTTTCGTGGGTTTTTTGGACTCAACTCCCAAAATTCTCCAAGTATTCCCCAGGCAGAATTCTGGGACTTTCCGCCCACACACACAGACACTGCTATGAATTTTACTCATCTCGATAAGGTCCTACTTCTGAGGCTGCATAGCTTCCTGTTAAGTTCTATGGTGCTTCTTGTGAGTCATAGTTCTTTGAGAGGTGCTCTCTATAGACTCTAATAAGCAGAGAGACTATAACTCCCAAGAAGCACTGTGGTAGCTTTCTTAAAAAGAAATATATATAACAATTGGAAGCAAATGTCAGAGAAAGTCATGCAGTCTTGGAGGTAGGTCCTTCTCCAGGTGAACAAAATTTAGGTGTCTTTAGGAGTGTGTTTGTGGGCTGAAACTCCCAGAATTCTCCCTGGGGAATTCTGGGAGATAAAGTCCCTCCAAAAATGAAAGAGCACCCCCCCCCAACGATAAGCTCTATTACGCACTGAAATTTCACTACTAATTTAAACACAACATTCCTCAAATGGTCCCCTACACACATTCTGAATGATTACATCCCTGACCATTAGTCATACTAACTGGGTAGATGGTAGTTAAAATCTTAAAACACCTTTAGAATATCAGATTGGTGTTGCCTGTTTAAAGGTGCTCTTGCTTTTTACTCATCTCCAGAAAGATTAATTATAAATTACAATCTTGGCTTGCACTCCTCTCAGTCCACCAGCATGCTAAACTTTATAACCATTTCCCTGCCAATGACAGGATCGCTATCTTAATTTAATGCATGAGAAGAAAAGTGTTTTTTTTTAAAGGTATAAACTCAAGAAGGTCAACAGCCAATCAGTAGTCAAGGTTTCCCCTTTACATTAAGAGGTGATTACGTTGATACAGGCAGAAGAAGAAATACAAAATAGGAACACAGGGATTTCTTATCTCCAGTGTGAGTATCTGTCCAGAGAACGACTATGGGGAGGTGCTTGATTTTTCTTCATTTTCCTAACTTTAACCTGCAAATTTACCCCAACAGCCAGCAATTACTAGCAGGCTAAGAGACTGAACGTTAAGAGAAAAGAGAGAGATTTGCCAAGAAGAAATGGAGGTGCAGGAAGAAAGGCTATAAACTCCTGCAGAGAGGTTTTTCTCCTCTGATGGTGGCCTTCCTCTTCCTCACTCACCTTCATGCCAATCTGGTGGTTTCAGTCACCGTCCCAAAACTGTCTTTGAAATGAAGAACAGTCTGCATTCCTGAGGTACTTATTAACTCTGCTCTATTTTTCTCTGCCTTTCTAGCTTATTAATAGAACAGGGCTGCTGAACCTAGAGCATGGGTGACCAGGCCTTGAAGATGCACAAGCACTGGCATCTTTGTATCTGCCATTTAACAAGAATATCACAGTTCTCTGTACAGCACACTGTACAGTGATGGAACTATGCCTGTTTCTTAAACGTTCTGAATATCTCAAAGACAGAATTTCTAGATAATGCACAGTCACACACAATAAAATGGTAATAAAAACCACAAACAGGATTTTTTAAAAAAAGATTAAAATATCCACAAAAACATATCAGCATGAGACCATAACATTCACTGTAGGTTATGCACATTTTTAAAAAGCCATAGGCAAGAGGTCTTAAAGCCAGGACACAGGATTTAAAATGCAGATTTTTAAGAGCTTGGGAGAGGACAAAAGATGTTGTCTAGTGGCAAAACAATTATACTGTTGTCAGCTTGGCTAGGAAGAACATTAAAAAATCAGGGAGCTACCATTCTTTTTCATTGCCATTCTTTTATCAAAGAGGCAAATAAAGAAGATGCCTGGAAGCCCTTTCTCCCCACAAATGGAGAAAGACAAATTACCCTACAGTGTCTGAGGTGAAACCAGATCTCTCAAGCTGATTCAACAAGTTTGCACTCTCCAGCTTTGGAAAGATATTTGGAAATTTCATTCTTTTGCCAAACTCTCCCAAGTTTTGCAGTGCCCAGCCTGAGAAAAATGTCTTGCTGGATTTGAAGTCTCATCTGTTCTTTTAAGCATATATTTTAGTTTTCCAGTAACACGCTTGTGTTTGGGTTTTGTGCAGTTACGACCACGCTTTTCTCCCTTCCTCCTCGGAAATGGAGGGGGGACTCCAAAGCTCTAAGGCTGTCTTCTCTAATCAGGTGCCCTCCAGATGTGCTGGACTCCGACTCCCATAATTCCCCAGGCAGCAATGCAGGCTAGATATTATGAGCGGTCGTCCGACGCATCTGGAGGACAATAGATGGGGAAAGGTGGCTCAAGAGCCCAGATGCATACGTACAGAAGGAGATACTTCATCGGACTTGAAGGTCCGAAGATGTGTAGAAATGTACATGGCAAGTCCAGCACTTTGCAGCAGTTCCAGAAATGAACTGGAAACCAGTGGAGTTAAGGACCAGCACAATGTATTCATATATAAACAACAAAAGATGGGAATCATGTTAACATTTGTGCTACTGGAATAGGATAGACAAAAGCCCATCAACCATTTGTCCCAACCTAAATATTCTTGTTTCTCCTTGGCCAGCTGGAGACCCTGGGCTTCAAGGCTCTCGATCATGGCTTCTCCCAGCTGAGCATTTCTCCAAGTCCTTAAAAACAAGCACGGCAAATAACAGATTAAAAGAATGAAAACAGGCCCCAGAAAACAGTGGTGTAGCCAAGCTAGAGCTCACAGGGTTGAAGACCCAGGACTTCCTGATGAGGAGGAAGGCCTAAGGAAGGCATCGGATTTTCCCCGCTGACACCTGGCTTCTGTGTTTCCT